TAGATCATTCATTAATAAAACTGTATTGTAGTAGCCACTTTTTGATGCATTTCAATTGCTGCTGTAGCCAAATCTCTGTATTTCTTTGTTTGCTTGTTTGTTGAATTTCTTTGTTTTAATGGGAAATATGGGAAGATTTAGGGCAGAGGAAAAAGAAAACACACACACACACACACTCCTGCTCTCATGCTAAAAACGACACTAGCTCAAAAAGCTAAATGTCACTTTACCTTGCAATGTACTTACACTATCAGCAGCTTAAAATATGCAGTGTAAACCTGAAAAGGGGGAACTCATATGGTACTATGGATAAAAAAGTGAGCAGTGTGAGATGCCACAGAAAACATATGACATACTCGTGACAGTAGTCTACGGAATGATAATATGGGCAGGGGGAATTAAAATGTATCAAAAATGAGGGGAAAATCAAACAACTGAATTAGCACATACACTTTTATACAACACTCTGTAATGAAATTTAACACTGAAGTGTGTAAAATGTGCGTGAGGAAAAATGACTAATACTTTTGACCACATAAACTTAGAAATCAGTATTTGCTATTATGTGTTACCAACAATTGATAACAAACAAAATATTCAAACCACCTACCCAGGAGTCATATTCAAAACCTATGCAGATATTCAAATGAAATAAAACACCACTCATAATTACAAACATGATATTTAATATAATAAAATGAAATCCTAGTTAAAATAAGAAATTTAGTATTTATCCAACTTTGTTGGCATCCCAAAAAACCTATTTTTCCATGTCACTACAAATATAATGATTAAGTTACTATACAGTAATTCCTCCAAACTGTGTAACATCAAACTATAGATATAGAATCTTTGATGTGTTCTGAATTAAACAAAACTGTAGAATTTATTACTTACAGAAATGAAAAACTCAATAGCATTTACCAAAAAAAAAAAAAAGAAATACAACTGCTCAAACACTCAAAACATTACAGGTCTTAAATATATTTCTACTATGCCTCTGTGGATAGTTAGAATAAACAAATAAATACATCAATTCCTGTTGCAATTCATAAATCACTGAAAGATACATTCCTACCACAGAAAAGACAAAGGGCTTAATTGGAATAAAAATTATACCACTGGAGAAAACGTATTTAAAGTCGATGCATAGCATTTACTATGCAGTGAACATTATTGAATGGATGTGAAAATAGAGAGTAAGTTTTTGGTCTCTATTATCACACGTTGGCACAGAGGATTCAAGACAGTCGCGCACTTCATTGGACCAAGAGAAGAAAGTTTCACTAACTTCCCTTCTAAAAAATATCATAATTCTGAAACATTAAATATTGACCGAAAGACTTAATTGATATAACCTAACAGGCATCCTACCCAGATTCTTCTTAGCTACTATACTGAAATAGGTACTTAAATACAAGCTTAAAAAAACAGCACTGGGGGGAATGGAGAATTGTAGCATTTATTAACATGTGCATTATACATACGAAGCAATGTGAGCACTTGTTTGTTTTGTTAAATTAATGAGCCAATATGTTGCTGAACCTGTCTTGAGAATGAGAGAAAATAACAGGTGAGTTTATTTAATGCATAATTCTCCTATACCTGTTTTCCAAACCCTTTTCATGATTTTGAAGCATTTTCTAAATTAAAAATAAATCTCTAGGGAAGAAAACAACTCTTATACTGTACAAGTTGATCTTAATTTATCCATAATAGATATATTTCCCCATGTATAGGGCATATAAAAATGCTTCACATTAATAATTCTAATAGGAAGCACTAATTTACTTTTTTTTTGTTACATGTGTCACACTGTCACAAAAAATCATGAGTTTTCCTCCCAAAGTAATTTTTTATTGCCAAAAATCATTGACAATTTTTAAAAATAAAAATCAGTGAAAATAATATCCATCTATCCATCTCCTCAGAAAACATATTTTGCCTATTTAATTATTCTTATCTTGATTGCAAAACACTAATTTTTAAAATAGACCACTTGAAAGTCAGTCATTTGTTTTTGCTTAATACAACAGAAAGCACATTTACATTTTGAGGAACATTCCACAAAATTTCACAGAATGCTTGCTAATAGTGAAAACCTAGTCTCCTGCTCAAGTCATCACTTAAAATCATAAAGCTATGTTTTCACACCCCTTGTAATAATAGGTCGCTAGCCATTATTTAGAAAGAACTGTGAAACCTAAAAACCCTATGTTGTACCTTGCATTTTCATTGCAAAGGAAAAAATTTTAAATATACATCTTTATATTTCATGGAAGTTCACTTGCTCACCTGGCAACATTTATCAGACATTCAAAAAAAAAAATGAGTATTCAATCTGCAAAATCTATGAGCCGACCTTCAGTTTTAGACAAAAATAGAAAACAATGGGCAGACTTTTTGGTCTCAACAAGAGATACCTTGGCTTAAAAATTCGTATTATACAAGCAAGTATCATTCAAGAGTTTCCATTCAAATAATAAGCCAAGAAGGAAGACAAGATTCCAACCAATCAAAAATACTATGTCAACATGACCAAAGTTAGCAATATTCAGAAGGGTTTTCTAAAAAGTGGCAAAAATGCAACCGTGAAGGAAATCTCTAGGAGCTGGCAGAGGGAAATCTAACACAAGCTTCTAGAAGGAACAATGCCATTTAGTAAACGTGGAGGTTGTGAGGAGAATGACGTTTCTATTTAAGAAAAACTTGCTTTGTTTTTTTACGATGGTGTTCTACATGAAGAAAGAGGAAAACGAAGGAAAAGAAATGGGATAAGGAGCAAAGACTACGGCTGCTTGCCTTCCTTCAGTGGTGCTGGGAGGGTAGACCCTCTGCCTTATGAAAACCACTGCCAGAACCAAGCTACACAAAACATTTTGGCTGCCAGCCTAGAACAGTGCCAGGCTGTTTTTTATTTCGTGCTAGACTCCCTCAATTGAGACAGTGTGGGATTGTCACTTTGATGCACATAGAGAACAAAGAATAATATAGTACGGGGTTGGGGGGTGGATTTTTTGCCCCTTAAAGTCAGGTTAGCATTTTGTTTTGTTTGACAAGTCTTGAAAAGACTCAAGAAACAAAAGTTATGCTGAAGAACCTATCAATTGCCTAAAGAAATTAGATTCAGTACAATATTGTCGGCAGTTAAAAGCCACATGAGGGATTAACATTTTTTAAAACTCACACTTAAAAGGAGTCCAGGTTACATACTTACCTGCTTAAGAAGCCAGAGACCAAGAAATATGTGATTCCCAATCACATGATGTTATCTAAAATCTGACAGATGAAGGAAGGCCATAAAATTAGGCAAAAAAAGAACTAATAGAAGTGTTACAATTTTTAGGTCACTATTCAGAGGTAACTGTGTCAGCCGTTATTCTGACCTTGATTGCTCCAAAATTAAATAATCTGATTAAAAGATTATAACAGTAGAATCTGAATATTCTACTTTTATGACATTATAGGAAAATAAGTGATAAATGATCAAAAATGTTTAAAGGATTAAACCACAAATCATCTAGAAGGTTCTCACAGACACAAACAGGAAAACCATCTCTTGTATCCTACTCAATTCTGTATTAGAAGCAAAGCTAACACAAATGAGAAAGCCAAGTGTGTGCTGTTGGAAGCTTCAGCCAAATATCCTACCTGAATCTGGTGACTAAACACACCAATAAGCCATTAGCTCCTAGAGGTCTGACCCTTTTCTCTCTAATGCACAAGATAAGTGGAGGTAGAAGTCCATTTTCTACAAACCAAATGAAAAGAAAAAATGAACTGTGACAAGCCCAGATCCCATGCTGGCATATTTTACACTAAGCTCAGCATCATCTAGAAGCAGTATGCTTCTCCCTGCCAATCAGGGCAGGAAGAAAGTTGTGAAACTAATACAGCACTGATGAATAGCAGCAAAGGTCCACTAGTCCCTTCCTCCTGCCCATTTCCATGGAATCAGCCGTTAAAAGAAGACCAACGACTGTTACAGAAATAGCAAGAACTAAAGCACTTGCCTCACGTGTTACAAACACAGGCGTGGAGTGTCACCACCTGAGCCTACCTAATTTCCAACAAAATGACCCCCTGCCCAGTTTTGCTCATGGCCACAGATTCTGAAAGAAATGATCAGTGTTGGGAAAGGCGGTGGGAGAGTGAGAATGCGGAAAAGAAACCAAGGGAGAATGGTGGCCAAATTGCAAACAGTGCACAGTGCATGCTTCCCTGATTATTCAAATTAGTGCCGTGCACAATACTTGGGGAGGACAAAACCTGTAATACGGGTTTCAGGTACAATGATTTCCTCTGGGTGGCAAGGGCCGGTCTGCCATAGAATCGACAAATGCATTATTTTGCTCCTCACTGTTCTCCTTTCACATTTCCTTCCTTTCGTCTGGGATATACCGTTGATGTTATTACTGCAGGGGACACTGATAGTTGTAGGCAAGTCATTCATGTCTTGCCAAAGTGGTCCAAAGAATGATGTCTGGCTGGCTTTAGTTCAACAAAGAATCTGACGCAAAACTGGAAAGTAAAAAGAATGAAAGGTGTAGAAGAAGCTAGATGATAACATGCTTTTTCTGTTTATTAATGATGCAGATGAAATAAGGGAAAATCTAGAAAAAGCAGCCAAGCTGACTGAATTACAAAGAAAGATTAAAGGAGTTAAATGTGTATAACTTGGCTGACAACCAAGGAACAATATGAGAGCTGTCCACAACTCTCCAAAGTATATACATAAAAAGAAGAGCAGGGAATTTTTATCCGCTATAGAAGTGTGAATATATGAAATAATAATGAGATAAAATTAAAATAAAGAAATCTGACTTCAAGCAGCAGACGAAGTAATCTGGCAAAACTTAAGAATGGCTGCTTTCTCCTCTTTAGAAATATTTATCATCTCACTGACCCATACTGCAGTAGAGAAAGATGAGAGGAAATGGCTGCAGACTGACAGAGGACTGAATCGATGGAGAAATTAAAATAAAGTCCCATTTGCTTACCTGATGATCCAGATGTACTGATTTCTCTCCACATATATCCAATCTGACTGATGCAGAGGTACCTGTGAGATCAAAGGACATATGATGTTATCTTCAAAATAAGCCTAGCCTGAATTCTGAATCCTGACCTGGATAAGTTTACTTGAATGACTTAGTAGTCTGAGTACTGGATATTCCAAGATGGGGGGAGAACCTCTAAGGAAAGGGAGATGTTTTGAGTCTTAACTAATAAGAGCTTTTTCTTCCCCCACAATCTTTCCATGGTTTCCCAAATCAATTCTAACTCAAAAACAAGAAGAAGAATTCAGATTCAAGGTCCTTATTAACCTTGGTACATGGATGAACTTTAGGAGTCTATGCACTTCTGAACCATATATGTAAAATTTGTGGAGTTATGCGAATGGATGTCTCTCTGGAGATAAGGTTAATAGTTTGTCAGGTTTGCAAAAAGTTCCATAATCCAGAAAAACTGTCATGAACCTCTGCTGAGGACAGTTCGAGATCCCAGAGACAGGCTGGAATGCATATGGATGATCAGTCTGGTTCTGAGGGAAACAATGGAGGTACACAGACACTTCTGTATCTGGGGTGAATACCTTAAGAACTACTTTCTCAGGGAGCATTATATCAGGTTCAAATTGTTACTTAATTTACACAGCCTTGTGTTCTCTGCAAGCCATGCACAGTGAAGAGAGCAAAATCCTACCATATACCCAAGGGTGGATATTGTGACTTTCCTGTTCTGTATATATTAAAGTCAGAACCCTTAGGTTCATCAATATTCACAGGCTCAAAACTAACAGTAACTCACCCAAAAAGGACCCTATAAGACACACAATAAGGAAGGGCTAGCAAAGCAATAAGAAATGTGGCTCCCAAACAGTATCCATAGCAGAAAATCACAGGATTGCTAAGTGAATCTCTTAAAAGAATTATCTTAAAAAAAAAAAAATTCATGAGAGACACAGAGAAAGAGAGAGGCAGAGACACAGCAGAGGGAGAAGCAGGCTCCATGCAGGGAGCCCGACATGGGACTCGATCCCGAGTCTTCAGGATCAGGCCCTGGGGTGAAGGTGGCACTAAACCGCTGAGTCACCAGGGCTGCCCTAAAAGAATTATCTTTAACAGTAGTCACAGAGTCCGAATAACCCATATCAGAAAGAACTCAAGATGGAAAACCTTCCAGGCACCAACTCTGAATAAGACTAAAACATTCACAGCTGTAGAAAGAATCCTGAGCTGGAGTGTCACCAAAAGAGAAAAGGAAAAAAAATAAAAAATTTAAAGGATAAAAAAGATAAGGGAAAGGCTGAGAAGATATAAATCAAGTAAAAAGGAGAAAACAAAACAAAACTTTTGAGACGACTTATTACAAATAATGATCTTGTAGGATATTTTCTAGAAAAATAATTTATTTTGACATTCACCCCTGAGCATCTACCAGGCATTGCCCTGATTGTTAGGATTTCAGCAGTGAACAAGACAGGAGTTTAATTTTGGGAAGGGGAGGAAGGATGCAGGGGGACATATACATCAGCAATCTCATTTCAATACATGATATGAAAGAAATAAGATGATGTGACCGAGGCATAGGAGAATGGCCTACGTCTATCTAGTATGTCACAGGGATGTTCACTCCAATTCTCAAAGTTAGTCAGGGTCTTAGGGAATGGAGACTGAGAAAGGACCATAGGGACAGCTAATCCAACCTCTTCATTTCAGAGACGAGGACAGGAGAGCTATTCTGGAAGACAAAGTATCACAACCTCATTATCTCCAAACATCAAAACACATACACCTAGACTGAGTTATGATTTTATGATACACTCTCTGCCTTGAGAGGAGAAAGCCTGAGAACAAGTAACTAAACAGCATTTCTGAATCTTTTAGAAAACTGGCAGATGCTGTGCACTTTGTAACCTTAAGATGTAACACAGAACCACATACTATCCAAATTCTTGGCAGGTTCCATTCTGTTGTTGTTGTTTTTTGTTTTTTGTTTTTCAAATCATTTTTCTCTTCTACAGACAAATTTGATCAATTTCTGCTGTTAAAGAAGGCAGGCAGTGTAGAGACATGATAGCCAACTTCCAAAACGGCCCCCAAATCCTCACCCCATGAAATTCATGACTTTTATAATTCTTTCTCACTGCATGAAGTTTGGTTTGAACAAAACCAGAATGCCCTGGAACTGATGGTTTCTTGACTTCTGAGGCTAGGTCCTAAAAAGCGTTACAGCTAGCTCCTTGCTCTATTGGATCGCTCATTTGGTAAAGTCAGTTCCACATCATGAGAACAAACAGCTCTATGGAGCAGTCCACATAGCTTCTTGCCAAATAGCCAGAATCAACTAAACAGGCTTATGTGTGAGGCACCTTGTAGGTGGATCACCCAGGCTGCTCAAATCTTCAGGTGACTGTTGCCCTGGGTCAATCTTGACTTCAATTTATGACAGATCAGAGTCAGAACCACCTAGGCTGCTCTCAACTTCTAGCATGCTCTCTAGCTTCCTCTACAATAGGACCTTCCAAGCTAAAAACTCCATTTCTCAGATGCATTTGCATCATGTAAGGACCCAGACTCAAACTATCAGAAAAATCCATCTGGGACCTTAGAAAATAGAAGTGAGTAAGTCAAGGTGCTGACCTTGACTTACTCAAATGAGATCAAATTTTGCAGTGAAGGCATTTTGTTCTTGTGGGGCTATCAGCTAGTCTATTAAATGATCTCTCGTACCATGGGTTCCAAATAGCAAGTGAATCTACTAAAATAGTAGAAATGGAGGTTTTCCTTGGCTTGTACTATTCCTAGCTTTATAGTAATAGTCAAGGTTAATTCCTTGGCACTTTTGGAAATTAAGTAGTGTATAACATATCCCTTTTTGCTTAAACTAGCTAGCTGTCTGCAACTTAAACTAACCGTTGCCTACAACAAAGACCCCACTCTATCATATACAAATTCTCCTGTCTCATAATGTTTTCACTCCGATTTTGTAATTCAGTCTCTTATGTTCCATAACTAATTCCTCTGCCCGTGTACTGAACCCTATTCATTCGTGCCTTTTCTAAAAACTCACTCCTTCATTCTCCTTTTCCTCTACCTTCAACCTTTTTCTCTCCATTGGCTCCTTCCCCTAGCAACTTCTTTCAGCACTACCAACTACTCTTCCAAGCTTCATAAAACAACAATACAGACCCACTGCCTTCATTTGAACTCCCATGAAGTCTGAACTACTACATCGTGGCTTCCTAAGCCATCACTCTACTGAAATAGCCATTGCTAAGGTTTGTTAATAATTACCTACTTTCACTCCTCACTCCACTAGACTGTGGCATTGGGCAGTCTTGCCCACCATGCTTCCTTGAAACTTCCTCACATTGGTTTCCAAGGTGTCCCCATCTTGCAGTTCTCCTCCAGTCTATAGGATGTTTTCCCTATTTTAACCTGGCTCCTTTTCCAAGAATTCCTTAGAGCTTTACCCTTAGGGTTATTATTATTCTGTCCTTGACTTCAAGATTTCAATTATCATCTATATATCTGCTGATCACTCCCAAATCCAAACCTCTCCCATTGCTCTCTTCACACTACAAACTTATCACTTCTGTCAGCCTATTAGATGCATCTGGTTTTATCAATTGTTATAAAATAGCATAAAACCCTCCCTAACCTAAGAGGACAAATTTTAAGGTGGTTTATAGAGTCTAACCGTGTTAATACTGTAACCACTAGCCACATATGCCTGTTGGACATGGAAATGTGCTATAAGGGGAATATACACAATAGATTTAAAAGACTTAATGGAAAAATAAGAACGTAAAATAGCTCAATAATCTTATATTGGTTACATGTTGAAATGATAATAATTTAGATATATAGGCTTAAATAAAATGTATTAATAAAATTAATTAAACTTATTTCTTTTCATCTGTTTAATGTGGCTACTAGAAAACTTTAAATTATTGCATTACAATTCTATTGAACAGCACTGCTGTACACACACACACACACACACACACACAATGAAAAAAAAATACACACTATTCTCAACCAACAAGGGAAGGAAAGAGAATTGATTTTGGTTTTTCTTTATACTCAAATCACCCTCACATTCAAAACTTACTATTTTATCTTGATAGCTTATAGATTCATTCTTAGTGTTTAAAACAGAAAGCTATATCCTAGAATGAAGATTTATAAGGTTTCTTAAAATATATACAAATATATTTAAAGTTTTAATGTTAAAAGTGCTAAATTATATCCCATAAAAATCAAATATAATCACAACTATATCATAAAAATACAAATAGCTAACATTTGATAGGCACTATGCAACTGTTATATAATTTAATCATCATATCTCTAAAAGAGATGAAATTGCTACACCCCATTGAACAAAATAAGAAACCTAAAGCAGAAAGAAGTAACTTGCCCAAGGTCATGTTCTTAGGCCACAATCCCAGCAATCTAGCTCTAGATCCCATACTTCCAATCAGTCCCTTTTGCTAACTCGAGAGAAGTAAAATTTAAAAGAAGAAAATGGCCTCAGATGGTTCCCAACACTCAAAATTATACACTCAACTAAGATCAGGAAAAATAAAAAGTCAAATTAAATAAAACAAATATGAATACAAATATTAAAGCTCACAGAAAATGGAAATTTAGAAGTAAAACTAGGTGAGCAGAGGAGACTATAAGGATGTAATAAGGAAAAAAAAAAAACACAAAGGAATCTGCTCTGAGCCTAGCACATACAAATGAAAATTCCTCAAGAACAAAAAAGCATTACTGTGTGGACGTAAAAACAGTAAGGGCTTCAGAAACACCACATGCCCACTAAGGCTACAGAGCAAAGGCGGAACCTGACACATACCCATGGAACCTCCCAGGGACTCACATGTAATTCTGCTTCACAAAATACAGGGGAGTGGGGTTAGGACAGATCTTAAATTAATTTCAATGTTTAGAAAAAGCTAATAGGAATAATACATGGGGCACCTGGGTGGCTCAGTCAGTTGGGGGTCTGCCTTTGGCTCAGGTCATGATCCCAGGGTCCTGGGATCAA